GCATCTTTTTATAGTTTTTGAAGAAGAATTTTCTTGAATGCAAATAAACAATCTCCAGTACGGTCATTTCAAATCAAATACACAAACTCAAAGTGCTTTACAGAGGTTTACTGGCCCAAGTGCATTTTTATTGGTCTGCAAACCCTTTTGTTTATTCATTCATTTATTTATTTATTTTAAAAAAAGTATTAATAAAATATTTCAGTTTAATTCTCAAGAAATCTAAAACACAACTTTGCAAAAGTTGATAAATGTGGTGTAGTACACCACATGCCCCCATGTAGGCTCCCCCCTGCTTGCTGCCGGTGTTGTGACAAAAACTGATTTCTGGTATTTAAACTGCTATAAGTAACTTGTTGGGCTATAATATGTGAAACATGTCAAATGCATCCTTCATGGATGACATGAGTCATATTGAGCCACAAACAACATTCATGTAACAAGGTAGAAGCCGCAATCAGTTTTTGGCAGTGACTTTTATATAACCTTTATTTATGCAATTAAAAAAATCTCATTAACATTAAAAATGTCTTTTGTAAGAGTAAGTTGGCCAAGAGCACAGCAGCAAATATTAAAATAGTTCTGTAAAAATATTTTATTAATAAAGGAGCGGATTGGTTATAATGTAAGTACAATAACACAGAGTTGTAAATATACTTGAACAACAGATAATGTTTTAATTCTATATAAACCCCTTTGTACACCCTGTTCACTGACGTCTATTTACCAACATACGTAAAGATATTACACATAAAAATACACAGAAACACTGGAACTGTGTCACTGCGGTAGAAAGTGGACGGCTGCTGTCAGCAGCTGCCTGATGTGAACACGGATTTTATTCTAACATCTGTTTTCTGTGTTAAACAAACGTCGGAGGATTGGAGCACGTGCTCTTTTTGCATCCATATACACTCTGACATCATCAACGCTGCTGTTGTGTTATCAGTTTGTTTGTTGGAATTAATGTTGTCATACTTTTTATTCATGCCTGCGCATAGCCGCGATCACGCGACGGACAGGCTCTGTAGTGTTATTCATTAATGTATTAATTTCACACAAACACGTGTCTCTATCGTCCTGCCACGCTCACCAATCAGAAGCTACCGGACACGCTAACCAATCGTAATTAGCCGGCCGCTCGCGCTTTGAGATGTTTACGTGTTCAGCGGAACCGGACGCGCAGTTTGAGATTTAATCCCCAAAAGCAGCACGTCGGTCATTTGGGAGTACTCCGGGTTTGAGGCTGCAGACGTGCACCAGAAACAGCCACTGTGCTAAAGTTTCAACAACCAGCTCGTACCGACGCTTGAACGATCACCGCAGCGTTTGTGTCCCGCTCTCAGTGATACGAGCAGCTGAAGACGTCGGGAGGTAACGAATGCAATAACACG